GGAGAGAAGATTAATAAATTAACACATAAATATAAAAAATTAACATTTAATTTTAAAAGAAATTAGAGAAGAATATTTACCAATGACTTGAAAAAAATTGTCCTCTTTTTTATAAACCATATTTAGTTTCTGGCTTTTTGATGAAACTGAATATGCTTTATGAAAATTAAATATTTTCCATAATCAAATGATTTGAATGGAGAGAAAGAAATGAAAAATCAAACAATATTTAATAAAAATTTTAGTTTTTTGTGTGGAGCCCCCCTGCCACCCGCCTTTGCAATGTTCAAGGCTTCAGCCTTTTGACTACTTTTTTCAAACCATGCCTTCGAGCGAATAAAAAACAACCGTGCCCTGAAAATTTTTCTTTTAACCATAGAACTGGCTATTTTTTTTGGCCCCTGTCTATTTTGCCTTTGTTCAACGTTTGGCAGATCTTTGAAAGACACTAAAAAAATGGAAGCTAACACAATTATAAATTTGATTTCCTAACGTTAAAATTAGTTAGATTAAGGATTGACCAGTGGTGGATTTATTCTTTTTTTTTTTTTTTTTTTTTTGAAAATAAATAACAAAATATTATCAAAAATATTTAAAGCATGATTATAAATATGTTGTTTATTGTCACATTTGGGGTAAAGTTAATCAATCAATGCAAACTCAATTTTACAAGTTTCTATTTTTTATCCCTCTACTCCTCTTTTTCTTATCCTTAATTATATATATATATACACACACACATGTTAGCAGCCGTTGTTGAAAACAAAAGAAAAAAAAATATATAAAAAAATTAGTTTTTGCTTAATCCCACATCGGGAGATAAGCAAAGTGAAGGTAGTGATTTGGCTATAAAATGGAAGCAATGTTTAGGTTTCCATACACACCAAAATACACCAAAAACACTTGATGCGTTTTTATATTAGGATTAAGCAAGTCTCTTGGATCCCTTGGATTATAAAAAAATATTTGGGGTGTTTTTGAGGGTGTCGAGTAGAAAATATTTTGTAATTGTGGTTGTAACAATTTGCCGCCATAGTGAATATTTTTCTTTGATTGTCGTTTGGCAACGGCCGTGGTTTTTCTCCACTTGGGGATTTTTTTCACGGTTAAATTATCGTGTTCTTTTTAAATCTCAGTCATTATTTTATTTCTCATTTGGTTCCTGCTTGTATCGTGTTCTTTTTAATTTCTCAGTCATTATTTTATTCTCATTTGTTCCTGCTTGAAGCCGATCCGAAGGGCGGAAAAAATAGCGATTTTCCCAACAACACACACACACACACACACACACACACAGTTTTGCTTTCTTCACTGAAAATGGGGTCTGCTGCTGCTCACCTAACATCACCTAACATGTGCATGCATAGGATACTTCATCTGTGATTCTATAAATCTAGCAGCATCCCTTTCCCCTTCAAATCAAGCAACTCCATACTGAAATATCAGCAATATCTAAGATGGAAGACACAATAGTGCTATACCCGTCTCCAGGCTTAAGCCATATTGTCTCCATGGTAGAGCTAGCAAAGCTTATCCTCCACCATGCCAATCACTATTTCTCCATAACTATCCTCCTTATCACTAGTAACCTCTGGAACAGCCCAACAATAGCTTCTTACATCGACAACATCTCTCAATCTCACCCTTCCATTTCCTTCCGGCGCTTCCCTCCTGTCTCCGTCGACCCAACTCCCCCTCGAAGCTACGCCGTTATGGTCTTTGAGACTATACTCCTAAACAAACCCTACGTTCTTAACTTTCTTCAAGAAATCAAAAAAGAAAGAAATGTTTGTTCTTTTATTATTGACATATTTTGCACTTCTGCTCTTTCTTTAGGTAAACAACTCAAAGTCCCTACTTACTACTATTTCACTTCTGGTGCTGCTTGTCTTGGCGCTTTCTTGTATTTTCCAAGAGTCCATAATCTATATAAAGAAAAGAAAAGCTTCAAAGACCTAAAGGAAACTGTTCTTGATTTTCCTCATATGCCACCTTTAAAAGCTATTCATATTCCTGAACCTATGCTTGATAGAGATGACCCTGCATATAATGATATGTTATATTATTGTTCTCATCTTTCAAAATCTGATGGCATTATGATTAATACTTTTCCTGATTTGGAGCCAAATGCCATCAAGAAAATTGAAGATGGGCTTTGTGTTGAAGGCGCGAAAACCCCACCTCTTTATTGTGTTGGACCTGTGATTTCCAGAAATACTGGAAAGAAAGAACCAAAAGATTCTTGTTTATCTTGGCTTGATATGCAACCAAGAAAGAGTGTAGTGTTTCTGTGTTTTGGAAGCCGTGGGAGTTTTTCTGTCGAGCAAGTTAAAGAGATTGCAAACGGGTTGGAGAAAAGTGGTGAAAGATTTTTATGGGTAGTGAAAAATCCGCCATTAGAGGACAGAAAGCAGACTGAGGATATTGTAGACTTTGATTTGGAAGCTATATTGCCTAAAGGATTCTTGAATAGAGTTAAAGATAGAGGTTTGGTGGTAAAATTTTGGGCACAGCAAATGGAAGTACTGAGTCACGACTCAGTTGGTGGATTTGTTACTCATTGTGGATGGAACTCGGTGATTGAAGCGGTGGTTACTGGTGTGCCAATGCTGGCTTGGCCACTTTATGCAGAGCAACATCTGAATAGGAATGCACTAGTGGAGGATATGAAAATGGCTATTGGAGTGGAGCAAAGAGATGAAGATGGGTTTGTTACTGGGGATGAGCTAGCCAAACGAGTTAGTGAGTTGATGAACTCGGACAATGGAAGAGAATTAAGAGAAAGGAGTACAGAAATGAAAGAGAAGAGTGTGAGTGTTTGGGCAGAGTCTGGTTCTTCCACTAGAGCTCTTACTAGGTTAGTTGACTTTTGGAGGCCAGGTTGAGGATTTCTGGGAATATTGTTGAATTAGTAATTTAATTATGGGTGAAACTATAATGTTGATTAGTAAGTAAATTATGCTTTTAATTATAATATCCGTTGATTATAATAAAATAATTTATGTTTGATTTTTATTCCAATATAATTATTAAACCTAAAAATTATAGGATTAATTATCTCTATATTGTTTCAAGACTCCTTATAAACAGTTTATAAAACAGCAAGATCGGCTATTCGGATCGAACAAGAAAATAATTATTTTACTGGTCAAATTGTTGACAATCTAGAGGAAATTTAGATTAATGGTGAAGAAAGGGAAGAGAGAGATTAGAAAAAAAGAAAAAAGAAAAAGCATTAGTATTTTATACGATTTATTTATCGATTTCATTCATCATAGTATACAAATAATATAATATTAGTCTATTTATAAACAAATAGTTGTGAAATAAAATCTAATAAATAAAAGCCTAATACTTACCGATGAGGTTTGGATGGCATGACAAGGGTTTGTTTATCCTTTAACTAAACGAGTTCGAGCTCTAGATATGAAATACTTTTAAATTTGGTGGAGAGGAGTTTACCCTATTTATGGGACTTATATGGGCAAATTCGGATTAGTCGGATTAGTAAGTCTCAGATACTAAATATGTAGACACCTAAAACATATATGCATAAAATTATATGATTAAATAAGTTAACAATGATAAAAAAAACAAATAGTCTTCTAACCCTAGTTTTAGTATAGGGTTGTCACTCTTTATCAGTAGTAACTCCTACCTTTTACTCTTTCTTTTGTTTTAATCTTTTATTCACTTTAATAAACTCATATCTATTGATCTGTCTTTTTTTTTTTTTTTTTTTTATATCACTATTGATCTTCTTTTTTATTTTTATTTTTTTGCTCGACCAATATTTCAATTTTTTATTTTTACTGTGTGTTCACATTTTACTTTTAGTATATGGAGCTTGGTCTCTATCTCTTATCTCACACTACATCCCCCCTATCAACATCTGCTATTTTTTTTTTTTTTTTGGCCTTTTCTTTGTAAGGGTGGTCTCTTCTCTTTCAATCACCCATATACATATTCTGTTTGATATTTAGATTGACACAAAAATAGTATGCTAAACTATTTACTCATCTAATGTCTCTAATATTAAATGAATTATAGATTTCTAATCGCACTGGAATTTAATTAATACGTATAAGTAATTGCATCATGATTAAGAATATAATAGTGAATTCATAATATTTTTTGGATTTTTTATAATCCGCACAATGTGTGGGTATATGACTGGTTAGTAAATAATTTTAAAAATATTTTAGGCAAAGACAAAATGTAATCTGTAAGAGTAAAATATTTATAAATTACATTAATTTGGAGTGATGTGCTATGAAAAGTAATAAATTACAGTAATAATATTAATTAAGAGGTGTTTGATTCAGCTAATTTATGTAGTTGATAGCTAATTCCTATTCAACAGTTAGGTTGAACGTGTTTGGTAAGCTGTCGGTTGCTAATAGAAGTTTTAATTTTCATAACTATATTTAGAAGTTTTTTCGCAATAAAATTATTCTTTCAATTTAATATTTTTTTTATCATTTTGTTTATAATTATTAAAAAAAGTTTTCTATTAAATATTATTTTGGAAAAATTACTAATTCGTCTTTATATACACCTGTTTTTTAGAAATGTTTTTTGAAGTTATTATATTTTTAGGTCATTATAACATTTAGTCATTCTGTCCGATTTCAGCCAAATTTCTATTTCTCAAGTGAAAAAAAAGGGGTCAAAAGAGAGAGTGAAATATTATCAAAAAAATACCCTTGTGTTCTTCTATCTAATAAATAAGAAATACCCTTATGTCCAATGGAGACGAGATGAAAACATGTGGATGAACGTTTTCTCACGAAGCTCTAACAGCAACAAATCCATCTTTCTTTATATCAGCTGGTGGTTTTGGACATATGAGTTTTGGGTGGATGGGTTAATAAGAACCTTTTATCTTTCTATCTTTCTCTCTACCATAAGCCCATACCTTTCCTCCTCTCTCTTTATGAGGAAAATCCTCAATTTATTCCACGAGTTGATCGTTCCAGTTTCTTGGTTTTGTTTTTTACAAAATATTTTCTTTTCCTTTTTTTTTTTTTTTTTTTAGTTTGGAATATTCATCTTTGTTTTTTTTTTAATTTGTGAGATTTTCTTTTCCTTTTTTTTTTTTTTTTTTGGTTTTAGTTGAATATTTCATATCTTTGTTTTTTTTTTTAATTGTTGAGATTTCTTATCGCTACAGATTTTCTATTTTTTTTAACTTTTTATTTCTTAAAGAAATAATCTTTATTTTTAATGGAAAACTGTGTTGTCTAAGTTTAATGAAAATTTTTTATTATTTATATTTTGGAGAAGAAGAGAGGAAGAAGAAAGTATGAGAGAGAAAATGAAAATTATAGAAATGGAGTTTTGTCTCTTGGCATTGAGGTTATTTCGGTTTTTTCTTATTCACTTAACAGCCAAAGATGCAAAAATTGAAAATAAGGACTAAATGTTATTCCAGACTGAAAATATAGGAACTTTAAAAAACATTTCTAGAAAAACAAGGATATAATATTTATATTTCAATATATATAGGGATGTGATAGTAATTTTTCCTATTGTTTTTAAAATTTTAAAATTAATATTTTTATTTATATAAATACATGAAAATAAAAATATATGTATCTTAAAAGTTAATACATTCAAAATATTATATCCTTAATGATTATTTCACATCTTAATACCTACTCAACCAAAATTTCACGAAACACTAAAATTTATTAGCTAATCGTTAACAACAACCAGCTATCAGCTATATCACTATCAGTTATCAGCTAGTATGAACAACTTAACCAAACGTACGGATCTTAAACTTTATAACTAAATTCAAAGGGAAAAATTAAAATTGTGATCAATTATACAATCGAATAATTATATAGTAAGTTTGGGGCTGCTACTGTTGATTAGGGATAGTTCATACTTTCTAATATTTCTTTCACTTTGCTTTTTACTATTTCTTCTTTCGCTTCTAATCTTTTATTCACTTGTAATAAATTTTTCCTATAACATGTATGTTTTTTCTTTGTTTTTGTTATTATTGGTTTATCTCCATACTTGAAGGTTTCTTTTTTGTTTCCTTCTTTGTGAGGATTTATTACTAAATAAAGATATGATATTTAATTTTATTTTGTTGTAGACTTTAGATCTTGACTTGCAAATATTGATCTTCAATCAATGGAGTGTGGTAATGCGACTTGTTTCTCCGTTGATGCTATTGAGGCATAGTGGCAAGAACTCATCTGTGTAAATTATATGTTGCAAGTTCAGTGTAAGCACTGCATATTTTTTGTGTAACTTGACTTTCCAGCCACCATATGTGGCGGTTTCAGTGGCGGCGCCGACAATGCTCCATCCAAGTGTTAGGAGACAGAATCCTCAGCTCCTCTGTAGATTGCGATGGTATATGCCAATCATCATTCGGTAAGCAATAGAACCCTTATTCGAAGTTAATTGCAATTTTATGGTTTATTTCTCTTTAAGATTTGAACTTGATCTTTGAGTATTGAAATTTTAATAATATAGATAGTAAGTCGATCTTAAATTTAATTTGGCAATATAAATTCAGGTTTAAATTAGTAGATAATGTGAGTAAGTTTTCATTGAGCTAATTGTTATTCGAGGTTTAAGTCTTTGACAAAATATAGCAAATTATAAATTATTAACTTATCAAACTTAATTGAGCTTAGTTGATTTGTTACTATGGCTGGAAAAGATTATTGAGCCTTATTAATTACGAAATACAAAGCTATGACTAGATATAAACCCTATATAATGATTTAGCAAAAGGCCTATGGATAATTTAGTTATTTTATAATTTTGATATTTGGGAATTACAAATGATTTATACATTAAAAGTTGTGATGATTGATTGGAGGAAGGGATTGATGTATAATTCGATCGCCAGCTGGATGGGTTGTGTTGCTTGTTGATGATTGTACGTGTTCGTTATCATTAAGATGCAAGGATTTGAAACAAACGAGGATTTATCCGATTTTTTGGGAGATGCTGCTGGATTTTTGGTAGAAGATTTATCAAGGATTAAACTAACTACACTAATAATAAAAGCTAATTGCCAATACCATCAATATTGCTATTATCACTAGAGAATGTAGTCAGTAAGTAAAGTAATGGAATTAGGGAGTTATAAACAGATAATTAATAAGCTAGTATAAAAGATTCGTTACACAGTTCTTGAAAAATAAAATAGAAAACTAATAAAAAATAGAATAGTAAAATAGAAACCTAATATTACAATAAGTAAATATTACCAAAATATTAATAATTAAGCATTATATTAAAATTGCAAAAAATAATAAAAATAATAAAAATATATTAATAATTAATAATAATTAATAATAAGGAAGATTTGAATAGACCACTTAGAATTAGAAATTGAAATAAGGGACTTATGCTAATAGCAAATGTGCTCCATTAATAATAAAATTTGTTTCTAATTCTTTCCCAGATATGATTGCGGGTCTTGAGGAATTGAATGTTGGATAGAAAAATGTTTGGAAAATGGAGCACAGCTTCCAGCTAGACATAAAGCTGTGAGTAGTGTTAGATAATTCGCATCATCCACCTACATTTGCATCCATGCATACAAGGCTAAATGCTAGACACTGTGAGTAGTGTTAGATAATTCGCATCATCCACCTACATTTGCATCCATGCATACAAGGCTAAATGCTAGACATGCATTACTTAGTAAATTGTTATTTTATGTTGCCTTATTTTGTTGCTACTAGAGATGGTTTGATTAGTTGTGATGTGCGCTATGTATGCTTTGCTTGTGTGGAATTGGAATGAAGTGGGTCACCGTTGGGTTTGTGAGGACGATCTATATGATATTGTCGGCCATGTATGGAGAGATCGGTGCCCCCGTGTGCATCTGATGAATATGATATGGAAAACCATAGAGTGGCCTCCTGTTGGTATGGAAAAGAAAAGAGAATATAAAAAAAAAATGAGAGGGCTTGTCAAGTGAGGTTGAGACCGGTCAGCCGTGTATGGGTATCGGCTCCCTACTGCACACTTGATGAGAGGAC